CGTTCTCGCCATCAGTAACAGGGTATCCAGTCTTGTCCTTCAAGACTCTTGGACTGATCCTTTTTCCAACTTAGAGGCGGCGAATGGTCTATCAGAATTCTTGGTTTGCTGTCTGGAAATTTGACTCCGTAACTTTACCAATCTTTTCCCAAGAACTCGCTTTAGCTTTCATCATTGCTTTCGCTTCCGCCTTGGATGATTATAATGTCGCATGCGAGTTGAAGGCTCTTTGCTTCCAAACGTTCTTCTCTTTAATTGCCAGTTCTACGTCTCGTTTCCAGAAGGAAGTCCTTCTTTGATATCCAGGCGGCAGGGCAAACCGTTTGAAACCGCATCATTTGGCGCTACTCCCAAAGCAAGCCGCTCTGAAAGAGCTCCCACTCGGTTTCCACCTCAGTGGTCATCACCCGGCATCACCCGGCTCTGTTCAAACCGTCTAGAGATGTTGTTTGCAAGCTTCATTCTCGTTTTCACGAAAGACAGTGTTTCCCATTTGATCCTCTGGTTGCTTCTGCCACCCGGTCGTCGCATGGATCTTCATTTCTCACGGGCTTTTGGCATCCCTCTTGTCATTACGTTGCTGGTGCGCTGTTGATTTCCGTTCCAATGCCATATGCTAGGAATGCCGTATTATTTAAATATAAAATCTACATATGTTTGACAATCGCAGCATGTAGTCTCGCATTTCCTTACTACAGAGTGACACTCATTTATAAGCCTTGAAACGAAGAAAGGAGAATTGCACTCTCTGGGGCATAAGCTCGGCAATTATCGGTTCTGAGTTCGACACTCTACCAAGTGAGAAACCCTGGTCTGAAGCAACACGCTGTAAAATCCTTGCTTAATGGAATTCACCAACAACACAATAATTGCACTCGAGCGGAATCGAATCCGACACCTCTGGAGCTCGAAGTGTACCTCTCAGAAACTGTACCAACACGCCACATGTAACTACCTGGTTCATTAGCAAAACATCGTATGGAATATATAGCGGCTGATCTATTATCCAAATTTGCTTAAGTACCTGCAGCATGCAGAATATTATCAATTGTGCTGAATATATTATATGAGGATACGAGTCAATAAACGGTTAACTCACAGTGCCCAGAACTGTGCACAGCAGTGCTGCAAGTAGTTAAAGTATCAGCAAACGTTAAAGACTTTAAAATTCTGCGTAACCCTGTGATGGAGGAACAGACAGATTATTCTAGACATTTAAGGTACTTCTCACCAAGGAGTGAAAATGAAGACTGCGAAATCCAAGAGAGATCTCGTGCAGAAGTAATAGAACTCCATGAGTCTTGTAACGACTCTGCAAAATATGGAGATGACGAAACCTAAAACAGCAGCGTAGCCTGTATTCAAATCGGTCTCTAAAGTGTCCATCACACGGAGACAATAGTACATTCCATTTCAAATGTCAATCCGTTTTTGCAATTACTACGTGTGTAGATGAGTAACAACTTGTACGAAAGAAATGGAACGCTGAAAATTATGGCTATCATTAAGGTAAAAATATATACTATCGTGATAAATAATACTCCCATTTGATGATATAGAAACATATTTCTTTATAATTTGAGGGAAACTGTCCATATATTTAAGTGTACACTTCCACGAAGTTAAAGCTTTATTTTCCAATACTCTATCTACACATCAGAATCAGTATACACTGTACATGATCAATAGAAGGCATGGATAACGCCAGAAAAGTACTGAATGGGATTGCCCGAAACGTTGAACATTTGCTTGCGATAATAATTACAGACCGTGATGGTGTTCCCATGCTCAAAAGCGATTACCCGTCAGATGTGACAACCCGACCTCAATTTTTGTCAGTTCACGGCGTGGCCTTGGAACAGGCAGCCAAGCTGGGTTTCGGTGAAGCTGAATACGCCATATTTTATTATAACCAGTATCAGCTGGTGCTTCTGAACTATCAGACAGTGATGGTAACTCTTGTGGCGACTAGCGACGCAAATTCTGGTCAGCTGGTGGGGTTGAGTACCGAACTGGAACCCTTGGTGAAGCAGCTGCGCAGTTGCATTGGCGACGTTGTGCACAACGCGTGATTGCTGCTTGTAATTTAACGTGATTTTCACTTCTACGCAAAATGCTGTTATATTTTCAGCAAATAAATTTTCCGTTGTCTTCGTAATTAATTTTTCTCAAAGAAATTGACTTGATGTCTAAAAATTGTTAGGATGTAGATTGAGTCTATCATTGATACTAGACCATTTTTCACGGAAGCATATGAAAGGTTTTGTATCATCAGTTTCGAATGTGTTCTAAAATAGTATCGATTTGTTTGCCAATGAGAATGGCCAATGTTTAGCTGAAACGTCGGTCTTTGGCGTAACGATTTTACGATCCGTCTTTGCTTGTGCCTAGAGCCATTGAGTTGACAATTTATTACGGGGTATTGATGTTTTATCAGACCGGCAGACTTCATTTTTCTGCGTATCGTCTTGGACTCTAATACCGCGGATGAAGATGACAACAGTAACAGCAATTTAGATTGGGGGCCGGTTATAAGACATGAATTAATGTTTTTGGAAGGAAACTAACCTCTCTGTAGCTTAAAAATTAACCGTGGTGTTATGGTTTACTAGAAAATTGCTAGTTTTCGAGCCCGCTGGCAAGAATAAGAATCGCTTCTACGGGTTCGCACCGCGCAGTTGCAGGATCACCTTGCTTCTGGTGACTTAGCGGAGCATTTAAGCATACCACTGCTCCATCATATTTTAGTATCCGCATTACATTAGTACAAAATAGCACCGCTTTTTGACTTGAACCGTAAACTGTTCGAACAGCAGCGGATATACCGCGATACATAGACTTGTATAAAAACAGTATTGTAGTTTTTAACGTTATGTGTAACTGCTGTAGACGTAATTTATAGGTTTTCTCAGCTTCAAGCCATGTATGCATTGCGCCTCTCAGAGCATATGCCTTCGATTCTATTTTTATGAATTATTTGAATGTGATTTTATTGGCTACTATGTCCTCACTGAAACTAGTTTCTCCACTCATTAAGGTCATTAGCTCATTCATTCGTTTGTTTATTTTCTGATTCATTCCTTCATTTTCGAAGTTCACTGTTCTGTTCTGTAGCTGGGGGTTGCTGGTTGAAAAGACTTTTCTATTTGATGCAGCCTCGCCAGTCAGGCAAGCTCAAATATCTGGTTTTCAAAGCAGGACGGTGTCAGATCTTTGTTTAATCGAGTCATCATGTCCGCCGTGTTCCGCACGACTTTGCTAAATTCTCTTTATGTGTCTGCCCTGTGGCTTTCTCATCACACCTCCATTACATCTCGCTAACCCTCTGCCATGCGCGCGAGAGCCAACCGCTCTGCGTAACTGTATCCGCAGACGTGCAGTCCTTTTAGGGCGACGATTTAATCATCATGGAGTAGAACAAGAGCCTCAGAAACTGGTACATAGAGTCAATAAAACCAACAAGGCAATGTTCTTGGTAGCTGAAATGTGTGTTTCGGCAAATGGAAAGAAAAACGAGCTCTAAGCGAAGCTATTTTTCAGTCAGTAAGTTAAATTAAATAGGCTATTGAATTTTCCTTTGCCAACTTGTTACTGACAGGGCCATTGCATATTCTACCCATCCTTCCGGACTTCTGTAATTTTTTGTGCAAATAAGTGATCTCTGTTCATGTTTTTCTATAGTCCTTGTTTCTGAACAGTACATATTCACTGACTGGAAAGATGTATATTAAAAATAACGAATAAATAAATATGAGCACATACAAGAGTCTGCTACCATTGTCTGAGTGAAGAGGTTGAGGTGACAGTGGTTGCGGCATATTGCAAGATGAAACAACTTCGATAATTTTTGAATTGATAAAAATAGCAAAAAACAAGTTTGTGACATGACGAGACATTCATCACGGCGATGGATCAACAAAGCTGAGGTCGATGATTATGATGACATGTTAACTGACGCAAAAAGGCTTTTATGAAGCACTGCCTAATTTCCTTACGCAGAATATTCGCTCATTTCTGTTTCAACGCTGTCAGGCAAAAAACATCATTGACCTGGAAACAGTTTGAGAAATATGACCCTTTGATGATATAGCATTTATGTTTACGATACATATGATGATACTGCTAGATGCTGCCCTGGAATTCAACGGTTTCAGGGCACACTGACTTGCCTCTTAGTACTTCTAGTCAGCAGAAATTAAACGGCACATTTTTAAGTGTATTGTTGTGATTCGGCTTCTACAGGAAACACCTGCCATGCACCTTTCGTAATTATTAGCTTTCGTTACTTTCAGATATGGGTTACTTTCGGTACGCGGTACTGGCGGTGGTGGTTGGGTGCGCTGTAAAGTTTTTTTATCCGTCTTCTGACCCGGAATTGCGTTATGAAGTTGGAGGTCACGTTCATCCGGATTTTCACCTGGTTTACGAAGTGTTCAAGTGATGGCCACGTTGAACGAAACTTTCTCTTTTCAGTGCAAGGTTTTAGACACAATTTTTTGGATGGACTTGAAACCGATGGTGCTGCTTTCGCCGTTTACAAGGATGGGGTCGCAGTCGTAGACTTATGGGGTGGCTATGCAAATGTTTCTTCGCGGAAACCATGGGAGAAAGATACAATGGCTATTGTCTTCTCATCGACAAAGGTAATTTTAGCGTTTTATGAGGTATTCAAAGTTTTTACTCAAATTTAAGGCAGTTGCGTCTCTTTGTATAGCCCTGCTGGTTGACAGGCATATGATGAACTATGACGACCTCGTGACGAACTTCTGGCCAGAATTCGGTAAACATGGCAAAGCAAACGTTACGATTAGAATGTTAGTTGATCACGAAGTAAGTCGATAGATTAAGTTCTGATTAGACAGCGTTTAGTAAACATGCCGTTTAGAGGTAGTCGTGTCTCAAGTGAGCAGTATAATTACTAATCTGAAGTTATTGAAAGTCTTTAATATTTCCTTTAATAGCCCTACCTCAGACGAAATAACAAGGGTTACGGAACGGAACGTTTCCACGACGGGATGCAAACCGAGTTAAGGAAATTTGGTAGGGAAGGATTCTGCACGATTTCCACACACTATTTTCATTTTAATAGTAAACAGAGAAGAAATAATACGAAGATTGGAAAAAAGGGTCGTTCTTCCAGTCTATGAAACCAGGGAAATTTGTAACCATTGGAATATAGGTTTACCTAGCACCTTTCCGCGTTTTTTCAGGAAGATAATGATTGGGCATTAATGTACATTTCCATACAATTAGCTGGAGTACCGTATTTTAAAGGCACAGTCGGCAGCAGCTATGTGGCAAGCATAGTGTGTAGTCTCCTGCCTTCTTCCCACGGATGAGTATTTGTTTATTAACATCAAAAGGAAGAAATGTGAGTAACCCTGATCGTCGCACGAATTCGGGACCTCTCCCTTGTAAGTTCAGCGCTATGCCGACAGCAATCTCGGTCTCAAGCAACGTGTAGTAAATTCCTTGCTCATTTGAGTTAGTGCTTTAGACAGATTGTCTTATGTACTCCTTAATCCATGAAAGGTATGGTGACACGTGCTGCTCACACTTCCATAGAATTGCCTTTTATCTACGCTGAGAAATTTTACTCGATTATAATCATAGAACAGTTA